AAAAAAAATCGCATATAAAGCCTTTAAACAACAGCAGGAGGAGATTTTTTTGTTATAAAACTGTACTGAAACATGTTCAGAACAAGATCGGTAAACACACAGAAGGACCTTCGGTGTCCACAGGGGGCGCCAAAATCAACGCAAACTTCAAGTAGTAGGAATCCTCCCAAAGGGGGGCCCGTTGCTGTGAAAACCAAAGTTTGTCAATTAATTTTACAGAAGGAAAATTAAAATGAAAAATCTGTGTAAGAGTGAATAAAGAATGAACGCTGGTTGGAGGAGCCCCCAATTATTATTTTGCCTTGGGCCTCAACATACTCTAGAATCACCACTGCCTACTCAGACACACCAAAGCACAAGTATGTAGTGCTCATCCAAAACTAGTTCATCTGAGCTTTTTCATCACACAGTGTTTATTTTAGTACTGTTTATTTTTATATAGACATAATGACCACATGTAAAGTGACTCAACAGGTGAATGGTAAAGCATTGACGAGGAGAAGACAGTGCTCTTTTATATCAGTCTCCTATTTGCATGAGATACGTGACTTCCTGATCGATAGAAATCTCTCAGGTTGGGTTGGAACAGTAATCACACACAGGTGACTCAGATGTTCAGCAGGATGTCTGACAGTAACATGAATACTTACCCACTCTTCCTGCTCCCAGACTCGTCACACTGACTGGTCATGAAGGACAGGTTAACGCTTTGAAATGAGGCCAAAGTTTACAGTGTGCAACAATTACTGACTTCTGTTGATGCAGCCTGAAGTCCGTGTTCATTCAACAGTTTTATTGTTTTCTTTACTCAGGATGATACGAGCATGATAGATCATTTTAAAGAGATGTATATCAAATCAGTATATTATTGATCAATGCCGTGTAGTGCCCTCTATTGGAACAACTGTGGCAGTATGTAAAAAGTGAATGACTTTACAATACTGCCATCATGTGGGGAGTGTTCACCTTCAAACCAACTTTTGTTTTCTCAAAACGAAATGCCAAATGCGTCAGAAACATGTTCAAACATAAAATATAATCTGTCTGCAGCACTTACTGCCCTATAGTTCTAAGATCCAAAACGAGTCAGGAACACATCACTAGATCATCCCAGTACCAGCTGACAAAAACAGCTCTGGTCCCATATTATATCAGGACAACAACCTCAGTTAGGCATTTCAAGCAGTCGCCACAAACTCTGCATCACTGTCCGCCAAGTCTTTCTGCCAAAACAAACAAAATGACCCCTCACTCAATCACTTCCAGGTCACTTCCGGCATTTGGTATAATCCCTTTCTGTCAAGATTTCTGTTGTTTTTAATCTTGTTTGGGGACTGGCAAAAGTGTTCTGCCACTTGTACATTTGTCTCAGCGCTTGTAGAAGTGTTTCACATCTTGTAAATTTGTTTTATAAAATATAAATGTGTTTTTCAAAATGTCAATTTGTCTCAGATTTTATAAAATTGTTTCACACTTTGTAATTTCGCTTTGTACTTCTCAGCCACCGTAGGAACCTGCTGTAAACCACTTTTGACTGAGTCAGGCCCATTTACCTGTAACTTTAATCTTTTCCTGTATAATAAATGAAATATTTACTTTATCTTCTTTATGTGCATGTGCTCCAAATGTCCTGCAGATGGCGACAGCAGTGCACTCCAAACTTGGGGGGGAAAAAAAGCAGCAGGTTATCAGAGCAAAACAGAGCAAATAAAAATTCATTTTCATTCTCAATTATTCAATAAGAAAGCAACACAAGATCTTTCTGATTAACTGATAATCAGATAATCTCTTTACACTCATTTATCACCATGTTTTTTTTTAACAGTTATTTATTTACCAGCAATCAAATCTGAGCAGAAAGAGGAAAGCCAGGGATCCAAGCACAACTGTCGTTTCATTAGCCCTCTTATCTGAAAAACACTTTCTTACACAGGCAGAAATAACAGCTCATAAATTGCTGTATGTGTGGTAATATTTACTAAAACAACCAGAGACTCAAAGGTTCCTCTTGCCCTCTCAAACATACTCGTTTTAATATTAAGTCATTAAGTTGAGGCTCAGGGATTTAAATTTCACACTCCTCAGTCACAGCAAAGTTTTAAATTCTCTCTTCATACTTTCATTACAGTAGCTTTTTCTTTACACATAATTCCCAAAAGAAAAAGACCCACTTTACTTTTGCTTTTGCTTTTTAAGAAATGTTTGGACATCCAGCATCTAATGTCTAAGAGAATTAAGATACTTTTTGCTGAGTATCATTTGAATAACAGTGGTAAGTAATGTTTTGCTCTTACCTAATTTTACCGAACAGCAGCATGTAAATGAAGAAAAGTATGGGGCCTAGGATGGAGCCTTGAAGGACCCCGCATGATAAATAGATTGGCTGTAAAAGAAGTGGATTTGCCTATGTTCACTGTCAAATCCAGAACTCCAACCACATGCTTCAGGCGATCACTTAAAGTGGCCAACAGAATCAAAAGCAGCACACAGGTCCAATAAAATCAGGACAGCGCAGTTACCTGAATCGACTGAGAGGAGGTCATTATGTCCTTTAAGTAAAGCAGACTCAGAACTATGGGCTACCCCGAAACCCGGCTGAAATCTATCCAATATGTCCGGTATGCTCCAGCCTCCTGCGACCCTGAACTGGAAAAGCTGTTTTTATCAGCAGCTGGACCAAATTTAAATATTGTCTACTTAATATCACTGAATCAGAGCAAGCAGCATCAACACAATTCTCAGTGTGTATACTGAGAGTCCACATAAGAATCAAGATGTTCTGAATACTAATGACTGATACAAACATTCTCAGAGGCTTGAACAAGGTTTATGCTGCAAAGCCTCATCAAACCAGCAGAAAAATCACCTATTTTGCAGCTTTTCAAGCCCCGACAGTCATAACAAAACAAACCGAGAAAGTCAAAATACCTGCTGGGGTAAAACATGGGAGAAGTCAGATATTCTGTTTGGTAAAAAGTAGATAAATTATACACACATAAAGCACTGAGAGGCATGCTGGGACCCACACCTCCTCATCATCTCTACAAACACAACACTGAAAAAGGAGACTGATGCCATGTTTACACCTTCAGATTCAACAGATTTTGAAGAATTGTTGGCTGTGTAAGCTCTAAATCAGATTAATATCACTGAACTTTTGAGCACAGATAATGACCACTGCTGGATTGGATTTGTAATTTATCGTCATTAATGAGGTAAACTGATCTGAAAGAATATTAAACAAGCTCAGATCTGCGCTGCTCTGTTGACCATTTCTTATCCTGTCCACCTTTTCCAAAGCTGAGGGCTCATTATTTGATTGTTATTAGAAACATCTGCCCAGCATCGACCTCACACTACACATGTAAAAAAAAAACTCACAGAGGCCGCGCTGCACATGCAGACAGTTTAAATGAAGGATGTTCCACATTCAGCACTTGGCTTTTCTCCTTCTATAAACACAACATTACGGTCCAGCACTAAGCAGAGTGTGACAGACTTTCACATCAACAATAAGTCTGTGTAAAATATATTTCATATTATCCCGTTTTCCTACAGTTTAGTCTTCCCTAAAAACTTCCAGATCGCCTCTTTAATCTTCTTTATTTCAGTCCTTCTGGTTACCAGTTGCAATACTCATATTTGCTGGTCTATACAGAACCAAGAGCGCTGACAAATCATGGATGGATGGGCCCTCTGAAGATGCCATTTAATCATATGAATGCATGTGTATTGGATCAGTAGTGATACCTCTAGCCTGCGGGCTAAGATTCACATCCTCAACATGGATCCCATCAGCTTTTGGAGCTGACTGAAAAATGTTATTATAGTCTTGGGCTCAAATGCGTGAACCTCCTTTTCTGCCATCCTTATTTTTGTGCAGGTCCTGGTATGGATAGGCTGTGCAAAGTTCTAAATCACTGGCCTTACCTTCATGCAGCTGCAGGCCCCAGAAACCTTGCTCCTTTTCCCTCTTTACGGGCGGCCTTGATCGGGGGAAAACTGTCTTTTCTTTTAATGCACTGAGGGCATGGGATAATCATCTGAAAGAACCAGAGTCAAAAATCGGGGGGGGAGAGAGAGCCACTGGTTGGATTCCAACCCGGGAGTTATTCAGAGTAGGGAAACATCCCACAGGAAGGTATGATTTCTGTCAACAAGAGGAGACAGTAGAACACATTATCATTCACTGTCTCAAGATATGAGATAAAGGAACTGACACTGAGACTTACCTGGGGGGACAGAGCCTTCTCCATAGCTGCCCCCTCCCTCTGGAACTCACTCCCTACACACATTCAACACTGCACTGACCCTCCTACTTTCAAATCACTGATCAAAACTCACCTCTTCAAACAAGCTTTTAATGTATGATTGTGATGTATTTTTCTGTTTTCTGTAGTTTTACCTTTATTGTTGTTATCTTTATGATTTGTGTGTAATGTTGCAATGTCTGTTTGTCTGTCGTTACTGTGCTGTTCTTTCTGTTTTTAACTATTGTAAAGTGTCTTTGAGGTTTTTTTTATCAATAAAATGTATTATTATTATTATTATTATTATTATTAATAACAATAATAATAATAATAAAGAAGGTACCTGTGTGTCCGATCAGCCCGAAAGCTGTTCATTTGCACTTACTGATGTTGTTTCCTCCTCCCTAGATCCTTGATTATGTTATAGGCCTACTACTCTCTGATGTTCATCGCTTTGGATAAAAGTGAATAAGTGACAGTCTACAAACAAATTCTATGGACATGTGCTGTAGATTTGTATTTCAATATCTAAGGAGAACTAATTAAATAAATAAAGTTAAATAAAGATAAAGAGAATTTAGTTATTATTATATATTATTTTATATAATATTTATATTATTATATATATATATATTATTATTTTTTTGTCAATGTAGTATTATGCTTCCCGACCCACACTCCATACCAGTTGGTGGCGGTAATGCACCAAAAACATTGTCTGACAACCGGAAGAAAACGACCAAGAAGCAGAAGAACTACAACACAATTTGCGCATGCGCGGGTCCTCCAAAACACCGAAATTACCGCAGGAGGATATTGAAGGAAAACAATGCAATATCTTGTAAGTAAATACATTTTTTGAATAAAGTATGGTTTGTATGTGAACGGTGTTTTTATTTTTGAATGTATTTTGAACGTCAGTGTGACACACGGTACGATAACAGAAGTCAGCAGGCTGTTTGGTGTTCAACATTCAGAGCTGATTTATTTCGATAATTTGACTTTATTATGAAACATCAGCTCGAATACAAGACCTGCTGGTGTTTGTTAAATACACGATCTTCGTTTCCAGGTGTCTGCAGTGTGAGCTCAGTGTGACAGCTCGGTGTGTGTTCAGTGGAGGGACAGGGTCAACATGTCAGCCTCAGACGGGACCTCAGACTGTCCTCAGGACATGGAGGGGATCTGTGTGATGCCGGATCTAAGTGCCATCAAGACGGAGCCCTCGGTGGGGGGCAGTCCGGAGAACACAAACACCCAAAATGTGGCCATGGGCATCAAGTTCATCCTGCCAAACCGCTTTGACATGAATGTGTGTTCAAGGTTTGTGAAGTCTCTGAACGAGGAGGACAGCAAGAACATCCAGGACCAGGTCAACTCGGATCTGGAGGTGGCTTCTGTTTTATTCAAAGGTGGGCTGGCTTCACAACACACCTGTGCTGTGTCCGCATTGCCAAGTACCTCCTCAATCTATCAGTAGGCAGTAGACCAGGGGTGGGCAACTGGCGGCCCGGGGGCCACATGCGGCCCCCATCAACCATCAACGTGGCCCTCAGGTTAATTTTTTTACACATCAATTAATTGGAAACATGAAGAAAAGATGATGAAATCTGCCATGAATCATGAAAACCAGAAATACATCCATAATAATATTTGATCACTGGTATGTGTTGAGTTCAATTTGAGACATAATCGACTGTAATTGTTTAATTTGGCCCCCTGGCAGTGAGAATTATATGAATGTGGCCCTTGCTGTGACCAAAGTTGCCCATCCCTGATGTAGTCAGTACCTACTATCTGTGCTGTATACTGTTAGTACCTACTGTTCAGTATGCACACACAGTAGGCAGATATTTGTTCCTACTTCTTCTGAGTCATTCAGTAAGGAAGTGACATCGTTTACGTTTCCCGAACCGACCGCATCCACTCGTTTTTTTTTTTGTTTTTGTTTAGCTTTATTCAAGAAGAGTAAAAAACAATATCACAATGTAAATCAAGTAAAAGATTAAATAAGTGAAATAAGATACAGAACATAAAGTACAAATGAAAGACAGAAATATACAGAATATAAATAAACCAATAAAGACATTTAAATAGTGAAATCATTATTTAAATAGAGGAAAGGTTTTATAATAATGCAGACATTTGTTTTATTTCTGTTGTTAATTAAAAGTAGTGATTTCAGTCGGGACTTTAAATTAAGATTAAAAATGATTATTAATCCACGCTCGTTTGTTTTGATTTGGAGGCGGACGTGACGTGACGATTTACGTTTAATTTCGCACAGCATTGTGGGTAAAATACAATTCATTTCCTGAAAGCACGCATCTGATCCATACTGCATAAAACCAGGAAGTTAGTATCCATACTGAAATGTTCAGTATACTGAGGTGGACCCAAACAATGACCACTGAATGACCACGAGGGTTCAGTCGACTGAAACACTCACTACTGAACTGTGACTATTCAGGAAGGACCCTGGATTTGAACCCTAGATTTGACTCTAGTTGGTGCTTACATTTCAATTTGGTAAATATCTGACCAACTTAACTAATGTGATCTTACTTGTTTTTTGTAGCTGAGTGCAATATCCAGACCTCGCCCTCCCCGGGTATCCAAGTGCGTCATGTTTACACGCCCTCCACCACCAAGCATTTCTCCCCCATCAAACAGTCGACCACGCTCACCAACAAACACCGTGGCAATGAGGTTTCCTCGACACCTCTGTTGGTGCATTGTAAGTACCACAAGTCTTCATTTGTTTCTAAACACAAATCAAGTCAACATTTTTTTATCATATTTCTTTTTCCTCAGCTCTGTCCATTCATCAGCTCGCAGCCCAGGGGGAAATGGTGTTTCTGGCCAGCAGGATTGAACAAGGTAGGCCGTCCACCTGGTTTCTAAAATGTATATTATCATTGTGTAATGTTTATAAATAAAAAACACACAATCGCTGGTATTAAAGGGCTGCAGCAACTAACAATAGTTTTCATTATAGGTTTATTTTCTTGATTAGTTATATGATGATTTTAACATCTATTAAAGTCAGAAAAAACACCATTTCTAAGGGTGCACTCACACAAAAGGGTGCTTCATGATGACGTAAAGCCATGCATTTGTCGTTTTACAACGTGATGATGTACAAAAGGTGACTATGCTCAGACCTGGTTGGGTTTGGAGCAATGTGAGTGGAGGCCATTGGGGGACAATCGTGCTTTGGCACATTACAGGGTAACTTGGTCTTGTGTGAGTGCGCCCTAAGAGACCATCATGATGTTTTCTTATATCAGACAAACCATACTCATAGGAAGGGTTAGAATTGAATTTCATATTTGACCTGAAAAAGAAAGCAAAGTCATACATCTCCTCTTGTTTGACTTTATAGAGACTGTGATCAACCTGCAAGACGAGGAAGGCTTCACCCCTCTGATGTGGGCCGCTGCACACGGACAGATCGCTGTGGTCGAGTTTCTGCTTCAGAATGTACGACAGAATTAACTCAAGACTTTGTTTCATGGTTTTATGACAATAGAGCATGCTCCTCTTTAATCTGTGAATGGTATCGTTCTCGATCATTCTGTGCTGTAGGGTGCTGACCCCAACCTCCTGGCCAAAGGGAGGGAGAGCGCGCTGTCTCTGGCCTGCAGTAAAGGATACACAGATATAGTGAAGATGCTCATTGACTGTGGTGTCGATGTAAATGAATATGACTGGGTAAGAAGTCTTCATTTGAATCCAATATTAAGAAGCAGGAGTCATCAGTTTTATTTTGACCTCTTGTGATGTTTTTGTTTCTTCTGGTGGGTTTCAGAATGGAGGAGCCCCTCTGCTGTACGCTGTCCATGGGAATCATGTGCGCTGTGTCGAGATCTTGTTAGGTGAGGACGAATCTATCCCCGAAAGTAACATCTACACAAATGTGCCTTTAACATTTTTATATAATCATCACAGCAATGCTTTTCTTTGAAGAATATCTTGAGTTACATTTTACTGGGGGTTTACTCTGAACTTGGAAAATCCAATTTTTTCGCTTTTTTGCTCCAAAAAATGTCTCAAGATCGACACTCTTGTTTCTCTCAGGCAGATTAAGACAAAGATCTCAAACTGCTTACCACAGTGTGTAATTGAGAATCATCCTGACCTGTCTTTGTTGTTTTATTTGTTTCCCTTTTGTTTGTTTTTGATATGCATCTCGACATCATTGTAAATGAGGGAAACCTCAATGATTTTTTTGAGGCTTAAATAAAGGTTTGAAATCAATCAATCAACCTTTATTTATACTCGAAAGATCATTGAGGGCAAACCCTCATTTACAACGACGTCGAGTCATTACAGAAATAATTAGAAAGCAGACATTAAATCAAAAAGAAAAACAGGGGACAGATAAAAACAAGACTCCTAAAATCAGACTACAAAAGGCTAAAATGTACAAAGATAATTAAGCGAGTACAAAACTGCAATAAATAAACACACTGATGTAAAACAGTTACAAACAGAAATGAAATGAAATCAAACACCATGCTAAAGATTTGTTTTTTGTCTTTCAGAGAGCGGAGCTGATCCTACCATCGAGTCAGACTCTGGCTTCAATGCGATGGACATGGCCGTTGCGATGGGCCACCGGAACGGTACGTGTAAATAAAACATACAGACGATGAACGCTGAAAAACATTTCCGGCAAAATCTGGAATGTAGGAGTAGTTGAGCTCAGCCTGCTTTGTCTCTGAGAGTGAAAGTTTGACAAATACAACCGTAGTGCAACCAAGTAAACATGAGCATGGATACAGGTGGAACTATAATGTGCTGCGTGTGTCTGTGTTCAGTCCAACAGGTGATGGAGGCTCACTTACTGAAGCTACTGATGGGAATCAGAGAATAAACTGTGACACCAGAAGGGACGCCACGCCCGGGCTCTGGACAATCATGTAGCGCGCTCTGACTGTTGGACAACAGAAATATTACGCTCCATTAAGTAATAGTTCTAGTGCATCACATCATCATCATCATCATCATCATCATCATCATCATCATCGTGTTGTAATGATGTCTGTGATGGTTTTGCTGTGTGATTTCAACATTTCAATTTAAACCCTCTTTCATGCAATTTTGAGTGAAAATCTGCCCTGACAGAAATGCAGCGCAGGGTCGAGGGATTCTCTTTCACTGAGCGTGGAGGTTTTTAAGAGTCTGTGTCCATTCAAGGCTTTTTTTTTTTGTTTGCGGTGGCTGTGCCTGTTTTCCAAACCCGCCCTGAGCACAAAAAAGACCCTCGACCTATCAGCTGTTCTTCATCGCTGCAACTTTTGACAAACTGCTTTGTTGACGGTCACTTCTCCCTCACCGACCAATCAGCGTCAAGAAGGGGCGGGACTTCTGATATCAGCTTTCTCAGCAATGATGGAGGAAATGAAACTAATGTGACTCGTCTCTTTGATGGTTCAGTTTACACAGGACAAGATTTTGTTACTTAATTTGATGTTTTCTTGGTGAAATAATTTCCTTCATTCAAGAATACACGGAGCTATTTCAAACAGACCGACTAGAAACCATCAAGGGAAGCAGAAGCCAGCTTGTGTAACCTAGCAACAGTTAACACCAGCAGAAACACTCTGAAACTGAGGCGGTGGGTGCCAACGCAAAAAAAGAAAAAAAAGGCCATTCATGGACACAGACTCGTATTTGTAGTTGAAGTATTAATTCTTTTCCTGTCATGGCAGGTGTGTTTTTTTTTTTTAAACTAACTTATTAACTGTAATGATGGGTGGTCCTCATTTACCACATATCAGAGACTCGTCTAAAGACCACCGAGGGAATTTAAAAAATCCATAGTAACAGATTTTGAGCTTTTGCTGCTGTGCCGTTTGTTGGTCCTGATGTGTTTTTGTGTAGACTGTACTGATTTTATTTATTTATTTTGATTGTGATGTGATGTGACAGTTTTCCCGTTAAGTGTTTTTTTCTTTTCTTCTGTATTGTGATACTGTCCTCTGACGTCTTGTGAATTTTAAACAAACCTCTCGCCTCCTTTTCAACGTCTCCCACGGGAAAACAGTGGACCCGTCTGCCACTGTAAAAGGACGATTGTGTTTTATATCATAACTCAGAAGTCATGTGTCAAAAACAAACGTGTATTTACCTCTGCGTCATTCTGTAAGAAAGGTCAAAGCACTGTTCAGTCAGTGAAAAGAAGCTGTTATTTAATAAAAGATCTTTTTAAAAACTGCAATCAGCTCGATCTATAATCACTGGAAGTGTAAACAAGGAACAGTATGTAACTCTGACCCCTAGTGTTTAAAATGGGTACTGCAGTCTAAATTCTAAACATCATAGAGAGCTGTCTCCCTCCCCTCCTCTCTAGAGTGGATGCTCACGCAGGTCACCATGTGGTGGACTCTGAAGCTTCAGTGTTTATCCAGCTCTGCATGGGTCTGTAAACCTTTCTGTGTTCTAACCTCTCTCCATTTTTCAAAAGCATCTCCAATATTGATCCTAGTTTGAGCACGTTTCTGCTCGTGGAGCTTATTAGAAACATGCAGAGGCTTTTTAGGTCGGGTACAATCACTTCTATCTGAACCACTTCTCTTGCCCCGCTTCCATCGCTGCAACACCTGTTGACCTGATAACTGCTCTCATATCTGACAAACGAGGGGCGTCCAAAACGGGCCGTGTGAGGGCGCCTTCAAACCTTCTCTGGTCCAAACAAATCCAGAGCATTCAGGAGCAGAATCTAAAGTTAGAAGGAGGACATACTGGCTGCTGCATTGTTGTCAGAGAAGCCAGCACTTCAACATAGCATGTTTCCTTAATGATCAGAGAGTAAGATACCTTTATCATTTTATTCAGTAGATATCTTACTGATTGCTCCTTTAAAGACTGATTTCAGCACAACGAGGTCAAATACTAAATAAGTAACACTGTTTTTTTTTTTAGATCAACCTGCACACACAAACTGTTTCAGCTGAGGGGAAAAAAAGAAACAGAACTGCAGGCTGTGTATCGACAGTAGCAAAGGTTTATTCCAGATACGGTGGTTTGAGCGAGGCCACAGAGAGTTCAGGTTCAGTAACACGGAGGAAACAGATGTACAACAGGAGAGACACTTTACACACAGTCTCTCTCTCTCTTTTGTTTTTTAACTTGACAAACAGACCACAGAGCACAACAAGCATTAACACAGTCTGATGGAGAAACAAGAGGTGAAGTCAACACTGAAAAACACCTCACTGTTTCAAACTCCTGCCCCTGCTTTCTAACAGCGCTGAGGACTCAGAGTGTAAAACTCGCTTCAGGTGTGGCACAGATCACGCTCACCGCCACATGTCGACAGATTCTTCCTCGCAGGGTATTTTAACTCTCCACCTCCTGAAATAGACAAAAAAAAAACACATCTTGTTCCCCTCATGGTCCTGGTCAAGTATTGACACTCTAAAAGGAGTCTCCCCCCCCCCCCCCTCCTGGTTTGCTCTAGTTCGCCTCGTCCTTGGATGCTTCATCGAAGTTCTCCACCAGATCTGAAACAACAGAAAGGATAAGTGATTACAAACTGGGACGATGCATCGACTCTTTTTAACTCTTTATGAAACAGACTGGAGGTGATACTGATGCCTCTTTAAGACCTGCAAAAGCAAACAAGACCATCAGCTACAAGATCGATTATTTCTTTTTCTTGACAGCCTTTACAGGTGTATATCATCCAATAATTTGGTAGTAATTCATACATCCATTTCATTGTCATAATAACAATGCAAATAAGAATAAAAAAAGAAGAGGATGACAACACAACCCTGCAAAACCTGGAGTTTTCTCAGCCCCCGGAGTCATCATTCAAAAGCATCATTTCAGGAGAACAGGTAATTGGCAAATTCAGTTTTTCAGTCAGGACTTCTGTCATTTGCATCCAAAACTTTTGAACAGGCGGACACTCCCACATAATATGTAGGAATGTCCCTATTTGGTTTCAGGATCGATTATTTCTATCGCAGGTGGAGGACAGAAAGTGTCACAGCACGCTGCAGAAACGGTCTTTGTTTACATTTTCCCTCCACAAAGATTCTCAGTGTGTGAAACTTTTGTCTGCTCAAAGAAAGCAGGATGGTTTTTTTTTGCACCAGTGAAGTAACTAAGCTCAGCCGTCATAATATTGTTGCAAAGTGAAGACAGAGAAACAGAAAATACAAAACAAAAACAAATTCAGAAAAAAAATGTAAAGTTGATGATTTTTTTCAAACTTTTCTTTGATCACATCAGTCGAAAAACAAGCGACATCATAGGTCACATTGATGCCTGTTTTTTAAGATCTTATGAATTCAAAGATCAAATAAATGGTAGATGAATTCATGATGAAGATATTGAGAAACGATTCTCGATGATGTTATTTTGGGGCTTTTCTTTTAGAGACAGGACAGTGGATAGGGTTAGAAATCAGGGAGAGAGAGAGAGAGAGAGAGAGAGAGAGAGAGAGAGAGAGAGAGAGAGAGAGGAATGACTCGCAGAAAAGGAGCCACAGGCCGGATTTGAACCCGCCTTGAGGACTGTACCTGGTGGACGCACTAAACACAAGGCCATCAGCGCCCCAGGAAGAGTGTTTTTTAACTTGATAACCGCCTCTCTCTCTCTCTCTCTCTCTCTCTCTCTCTCTCTCTCTCTCTCTCTCTCTCTCTCTCTCTCTCTCTCTCTCTCTCTCTCTCTCCTCTGAGGGGTCGAGGGGGTTAAAATGGAAACAATCGAAGAGGTCTGAGTAAACATGTTCCCCCCCCCGAGCTCCAGAACAAAAAAGGAAAGTGAACTCCAATAACAACACGATGGCAGAAGGCTGTTAACCCCCGCGCGCCCATCGGCCTTTCCAACTGCTCCCACCGCCGACTGCATGTGTAATCGTTTGTTACATTAAGCGAGAGAGTCCTGGGAAAAGGGCCCGAGAGCGCTGTAATGACAACCTCATGTGTTCGGCCCCGTTTTCTCACAAAGAAAAGCAAACTGGATGTGAACATCTTATAAACAGAAGACATGATTCAAACCCTGCGTTGCACCATCATCTGGAGCCAGTGACGAATCTCCTTCTGATGACCTCTTACGCAGGCCGAAAGAAAACAAACCCGCCGTGCTTATTTAACCGACAGAGGCCGAGAGGGAAAAAAAAACACACAAGTCTAACAAAGGAGCGTGAAAAGAGAGTTTCTTAAATCAGCAGAGTGTTGGAGAAAGGTGCAAGCAGACAAGTGTCCATGTGCAGGTGAGCACTCACCTGGAACGTCATCATCCTCTTCTTCTACTGTTGCAATTGGCGCTTTTCCATCTACAGCTGGAGGAACAAAAAAAAAAGATGATGTGTGAGAACAGCAGTTTAAATCGACCGATGGCCAGAAACAATAAACGCTGACGGGGAAGATTCCCGTCTGAGCAGTCTGACGACAAAGGATTAGAGATGTGAGTTTAGGATGCTGTGGTGGTAACTGGCTTTTCTTTACTGGTTTAAGCGGCTGCTAATGAAATAAAAGGAGTAGTCCTGACTCCACTTATTAGGGGACATCAGTCAGTGAGATAGCTTGATAGGATTAAGCCACATACTGATTTGCTACTCGAGCAGACAGCCGTCACATGTCTGAGTATTTACGCCGATCAGAGAATCGTATAAATGGCCGGAGTATGGCTGACTCCGCTACGCTATGTGGCGCTGTACCCCTTTCAACACGTGGTTACAGAGCCACTTCCTGTTGACCTAAACGTCACAGCAACAACAAACTATCTGGCGGCACTGGAACGAAGATGGCGTACGAGGAGACGGACGACGCTACAGCTACGTGCATTATTTACATTCTAACAATGCATACTAGAAGAACAACGGATCTTCTGGCTGCAGCAATCACAGCAGAAGGAAACAACACTACTATTCATCACGTCGTCTCCTTCCACTTCCGGGTGAAAGCCCCGGCGGAAATTCTCGAGCACGCGCAGAACGCAAAATCCGCTTACGATACGATGGCTGAGTTTACACGCTGTTAGTTTGCTGACTATGAACGACTTATCGAGGTGTTCTTTTCTGATTAGAAGATGTCCGATGTAGGTCGGACTAAGATGTTTACAGGCATTTAAAAAGTCCAAACAGTGTCTGATACGATCAGAAATTTGAATATCTAGCGCCATGAAACCCTACTGAGTGAAAACTACAAATATTCATAGTTTGATAACTGCTCGGTCAAAGTGCAGAGGTTAGAAGGTACCTAAACTAAGCAAGGAAGACAACTGCTTGGGGCACTAGACCAGTAGGCCCTGAGAGCTCACAAACTTTACACCACAGCAGTAGCCGCCTGTGCAAATTTTGCAATGACAGTAGGAATCCTCCCTAAGGGGGCCCTTTCTGACAGCACTCACTCTTGTTGCCCTGCTAAGCGTTGAATGCAAAGTTTGTCAGTGAAAGTCAACAAAGAAAAAAGGAAGCTAGTATCATATTACAGTTATGCAGAGACATGAATATTATATACTGGTGGGAAAATCTACAGAGCGCTACATGCTACATTATGACTCGCTTAATGTGTTGTAGGAGCGTTGGAACAACATTTAAGACTTGAATAAAACTTGAAACAAAAAAAAAAAAAAATGCAGAAGCTGAAATCCGTACTCCAATATGTGTTTTTATCATTTTAAATGTGTTTGCTACCGTTCCTGAATCCTACTCTTCTTCTCTTGGCTTCTTATTGACCCCTTAACATCTCACAGGAGTTCAGATTTAAAGATTTAGTACGCTAACCTGAGCCAAGGAACGCAATTAAGAGCTGTGCACCCATCACTGTAGGAGGTGTGAATCTCTACGACACCAAAGACAACTTTACTAAAATTATATGTGGAGAAAATATTGCTATCTGTAAATTTGGAATGCCCTCTAGTGGACAAAATGTGTAAGTGCATGCTGATAACGACTGATCGATTGTAAAAGACTGAGAGTCCTAATGTGTTTAAATAAAACACCCCGGGGGGACTGACCCTGTTTGGGCAGAGCCTCGGCCAGTCTCCTGAGGCTCGTCAGGCTGTCTGCTCCCAGCTGGTTCAGGATGCCAGGCAGCATCTCGGTCAGCTGTTTGGTCTCAGCGTGGCCGGTGATGGTGAAGGTGTTGGCGGCGAGGGAGGCCTGCACTTTGGGGTTGTTGAAGTGGATGACCGTTCCTTGATTTGTAAACATGTTGACCTGCGACACAACAACAGGTTGGTACAGTTTAACAACAATTCAAAGGAACAGGCAGTGACACTTTTTATTACAATGGAATAAAAACAAACGAGGAGAAAGTTAGAGCGTACCTCCTCAATACCAGAAATGTTGTTGACACCGAGCTTCTTTAAGGAGAACTGGAGCTTCTTGTCGTCTGCGGTGGCTGTTCTGTGTACGACCTTCTTCTTTCTGCGAGCACTGCCCTGTGACGACATTATACAAACACACTTCTGTATAAACCTCCTTTTCTTGATCTTACACCAGCCGTATGAAACGTGTATCTCACTGAATCTCAAATGACTGCATCATAAACTACAGCTCTCATTCCTGTTTGCAATAGAAACTGCTGAATGTAGCCGCACTGACTGACATCATGTAGAACATCATCAGCATAAAAACTCTTCATTCCACAAAACGAGAGAAAATGTGTAGATAATTTCAGGAGGACTGCTCCAGAGATTCTCCAGACATAAGCTCCTCACAGCGGGAGACTAACACTATCAGTGGACGATGCAACAGAGTCTGCTATGAAGCTATAATGAGAATATCTGACTTTAAATAAATGCTACGTGTAGTTCAACAGAATGACCACATCAACAAAAGAGTGGAGAACAACATCCAGACGAACAGAAAAGCTCACTCTGACTTGCTGCAGAAAAACACTAGGTGTCTGGCAGGAGATATTCAGGTTGAAGTCCGAGTGAAACATTTAGCTGTTTGCATTCACACATGCAGCTTCTCCTGGAAACATCAGCTGTTTTTCAGGAGTTTTCTGCAAGTGTGAAAGCCCTAACAGAGGATGTAAGCTCATCTCTTTTCAGTCAGACCATTACTGTATGCAACTTCTTGCTATTTTATTTTAGGAAGTAATATATGTCACAACTGGTTTCAACTTCTTAGCACAGATAGTTGTTGTTCCCTCATTTGTAACCGACACTAAACCCTGAAAACTGAGAAGTCTTTCAAGCATTTTTAAAAGTAGAGAAAACAGAGTGTTGTTGCAGGAAACTGAACATATCATGAAGTCTATGACGATGCATTTATTTCATTTATTACCTTTCCGCCGATGCGGACTTGGGCCTGTAGTTTAGCGAGTTTTTCTTGATTCATCGCTGCTTCTTTCATCTGGAAAAGAAAAAGCACATTTCAGACGACTGTGTTAGTGTCAATGGTTTAGCTGATCGTTAACCTGCCAGCCTGGGAACAGTTTAAATACATTTCAGGTGTTAAAATGTCATGCCGTCGTTAAAAATTAAACCAAAACGTTTCCCAAGGCGTGAAGCAAAGCGTGCAGAGACAAAGAAATCAGGTCAGACTCAGACACACTGAAAAAACATTCACTAACTCAAAGTTGATTCATTCATATCTTTTAAAGGTTAAGAAATAATAAGTGGTTATTTTTGCTTGACATTCTAAACTGATGATACAATCCAACAATCATTTTCCTGCCTTTAGAGTGTGAACGAGAGCAAAAACAAATCCCACTAGTCGGTCAGGGTATTTACTTTATTGACAACAGTAGTGCTCCACAGTGATGTTATTAAAGTAAAGCATGGTTTTCTCTCGTCTGTTTTTCATGTGTATTGAAAGTATGGATGTTTGTTATCTCTGTGACGACAGTATCTTGTGTAGATGATGCATGCAGCCCAACTTCCTGCCACTTCTCCACCTCGACGGTGCTGCTGTCTAATTACAGGAGTGCCTGTGATTAACTTTGAAGACGACAGTGCAGAACTGCAGAGCTGCAGATCACATCCCAGGAGTAACTCGAAAGTATATTTGCTGAACGTAGAAATTCAACATTTTCTAAACGTTTTACAACAAGTGGGTCTGATCGGGTTTATTCATGTGCTGATTCAAAGTTTTGATCTCGTTGAGTAATGCAAACGCGATCTAATCTAGCCCAGAAGACAAACAATACAGTTAACATCTGAAGATTGATGGAGAGAGAAAATGAATGGTGGCTTCTCAATATAAATCAAAGCAGTGACCACTCACAGAAGTACACAAACAAAGTTAACTGCCAATCGGATTTTTGAAAAGAAAAGAAAATACATCAGCTGACTTCTTTGCAAAAGCAGTGAGTAACAAGAGTGGAGTCCAAAGTTTGATATTTGTCTTTTAAATGTAGTCGAGTAAAGGTTTCCCCAAAAATGATAACTCAAGTAAACTACAGATACTTAAAGAGAGACGGCTAAACACTGAAGCTTCAGTGTCCGTCACAGCTCTCTCCAATGTTTTGAATTTAGACTGCAGTACTAAATTAAAACGCTCGGTGTTCGAGTTACATATTGTTCCTTTAACGTACTGCACTCAAGTAAATTTACTCTGTTACTGTCCACCACTGTTAAACAAAAACACAGAAATCAGGTTTCAAACATTGCTTTCCTTCTGTTTCGAGAAAGAAATACTCGATGCAAATTTTGTGCAAAATACTCTTTAAAAACCCCTCAGTTCAGTTTGTCCGCTTTGGGCTACCGTACAAACATGGCGGCTGCGATATGGCTGACTCAGTGGAGCAGACCGATTACATCTGTGAATGTGAAGACTCATTTTAAAAGGTACAAAATCACAAACTTAACTCTAATAAAACACACTCATGTATCTCCTTTGTAACGTCAAGAGAAGTCAAGTCTTCAACCGTAAACACACGAGCGCTTAAATAAAAAAAGACTTTCATTTCACACAAACTACATCAGTGTGAACTTAACTTATACGTGACAAAGGTACGGTGGCTGGAAAGTGCAAAGCAAAAATTACAACGTGTTAAACACTTTTACAAAATGTGAGACAAATTGACATTTTGAAAAACATTTTTACATTTTATGAAACAAATTTACATGTTTGTCAAACACTTTTACAATCGCTGAGACAAATGTACGAGTGGCAGAACACTTTCACCGGTACCCAAACTAATTTTACAAACGACAGAATCTTAACGAAAAGGGAATGTACCGTAACAAAACAAACAAAGTGACCCCTCACTCGATCACTTCAGGGTCACTTCCGACATTTGGTACATTCATGAGAGCAACCCATCCGGGTCCTTTGCCCAAACGATGCCGGCCCCGCCCCTTTCTGGGTGAAATCATTCCATCTGAGTGAATGGCGGTTAATGGACAAGTCGGGGTCATTACCGATTTAAAGTCTTAAAAAATGAAAACTGTACATTAAAACTACAAGTATGAGCCTAAATGTGATGAGCAGTGATGTAAACATTTAAAATAAGACATTTCTGAACATCGACATCATAACGGTATAAAATGAACCACGTACGTGAGTGTCTGTTCAATCTGCTCACACGAGTCATCAGAGGAAACTGACTTTAAACACCTGATGAGTCATTATTAACCGAGTTACCTGAGAGGGATCTTTATCTTTAAATCTTTATTTGTAATAGTTTCTAACAGTGTTCAGAGCTGTAATGGAGAGGTTACAGACGTTTACATAAACTCTGAGTTATCAGCTGATTTTGAATAACACAGGTAGAGTCACCTGGATGATATTCAAACCTTTTGTATTCACACCTGAGTGTAAATAATGATGAGTGGGGCGAGACGACGTGTTATATTCTTTTTATTTTGACATTTATTTTTCAGGAAGAGGATTTGGTGTCGTGTTCCTTCGTTTAGACATTTTCACCAACGTGTTTATGATGTGACAGTTGAAACGCTGTTAACACGTTAGTGAATGAATGTGTGAAGAATCTGTGAACACACTTCTCTTCTGCTTTAAAGCAGGAACATGACACTTTAATCCTCTCTAGTTTCAGTCCAAACACACACAGCTCTTCTTTTACCCTCCTTTGTCTTCTGGAAATGAAAACCCGAAACTAAATTATGTTTTAAAAATAGTTTGAAGTACAAAAAGCTTCGCAAATCGCGTTTAATCTCAGGGCTAGCAGCATTTCTCAGGACTTGTTTTCACGCAAACGGGGGCGTGGTCACTCTGGTTAGCCGGAAGTGACGTTCGACTGCTCTTATGAATTCCCAGTTTGTAAATTTGTCTCAGCGATTGTTGAAGTGTTTCACACCTTAAGCATTTGTTTTATAAGATGTCAATTATTATTATTTTTTTTTAGGTATAAGTGTTTTGGGTTTTGTAATTTTATTTTCTAAAAATGTTTTAAAAAAAATTTCGCTTTGCACTTATCGGCCACCGTACAAAGGTGTGCTAGTGTGCTTTAAGAAAGTAGCAGCTAAGCATGCTAATGTTGTAAACACGGAGCAACAACACACATGTAAACACACACAAGAGGGAGGCTGAGGTGAACCAGCACATGTTGGTTTATTACCCATCGAAAGCTAAATGATTTGTCTCGTGTGATCACCGAAACAAGGTGCGGTTTTAGCTCTTGAGCAATAACTTGTCGGCTAACTGCAGCTAGCTCCTCCGGCTAGCGGAGTGGACGGCCTGTCACCCGCAGCCTCACACGACCCGTCACTAAGTGTTCAGATTCAACACCAACCCACAGATTTCAGCCACCAGAGACAGAAAAGGCTTTGGTTTACCTCTGGCCGTCGTATCGAGGGGAAACAGTGCAGGGAAGAAGGTATTTAAAGCTCCTCACTGACCTGTAAACTAACTGCAGACACATGCGGGGAGCAAGATGGAAGCGAGAGAGAGGAGGGCGGAAGTGACGTCAGGGAATTAAAAAAAAAAAAAAAACCCGCAGATTCGTTTTGGAATTTTTTTGCCCTGAGTTTAGATTTGAAGGCAACACTTTCCGTTTCTCGTGAGAGAATATTACAATTTATTTATTTTGAATTTAATTAGTCAATTATTTTTTATTTTAATTAAGTTAAATGAAGTCACGCTGATCTGCAGCTGCACGGAAGAAGAGAGACGTACATAATTCTTTGATTCAACTCTTGTGACACATCAGGATTGTTTGACGAAATGATTGAACCCAATTCCACATCAGATTAAGATTAATAATGTTTAAAAACAGTATTCTTCTTTCAGTGAAATTGTCCTGTGATATGCATATTCTCTTCCCTAAAAAGCTCTTTTGTTTGTTTATTTTTAGTGTTGAAACATCTGTATGATGTTTGTTGTCACTGATCAACTGAAATATCCTTAAAATATACACGAGTATGTATATTTTAAGAATGTAAGAAAGAAGGAATAGATACTGTTATATCGTTGTTTTAGTTTTATTTTATTATTATATATTTTTATTATTATCATTATTTTTCTTTAGTATTATATTATTTTTGTGTTTTTTTTGTTTTTTTAATTTGTATTTTTTTTATATATATCTATTTTTTATTATTTTTTGTGTTTTGTGCTTGTCTTTTCCTTTTTCCCCCTGGTATGGTTATGTTATTGTAATTTATGTGTGTATGTGTGTGTGCATGTCTGCGTGTGTATATGTATGAGCAGGGAGGGTGGGTATATTGAAAATTCAGCTCTGATCGTCTTTAATCCCCTTAAATGTCTGACTCATTTTCTCCCCCTAATTTTAGAGCACATGGTCTCCTTCAGTAAAGAGGCGTTTATAATCTCACCAGAGCAATGCACAACCATGTAATGTACATAAATGTTTGCAGGACAACCGGGATAATCAGAAAATGTACCCCCCCCCCAAGGAAGTCAGATGAAGTGCTAAATAGTTGTTACACCTTAAATACAAAATACAAAATAAAAGTGAAAATTCAATTTAAAAGATGTATGTTGAAATAAAATGTAAAAAAGGAAACTTTTTATGTTGTTCCATCACATCAGATTTTAAAAAGTTCCAGAGCTCTCTTCACAGTCATTCAGTGTGTGTGTGTGTGTGTGTGTGTGTGTGTGTGTGTGTGTGTGGCCTTTAAAAAAAACAAAAAAAAAAACTCTTGCTGTGATTGCTTTTGCGTTCTGGTCTACTGAGGGGGCTGTTGGCTAAGAAACCATCGGCTGTCTCTGGAGATAGTTTTCAGTCTGCAGCTGAGCATGACACCACAAAGTAAATCTAGAAAGACGGAAGCATTTCTCCTTTTTCAGAGTCACAAACTTTAACCCATCATTTTATTACAACATCAGCATCACAAGATGTAAAGAAAATTTACAAACAGCTTCTTTATAAATTAAATAATAAACATATGAATATGCATCCTGATCATTTCCAAAAACATATTCAGCAAAAAGCAAACTAAAACACAAAAACAATCACAGACTAAATCTCTTGCAAGCCTAATTATAATACATTCAGAAGCTCTAAGCGGACAAGCATCCATACATTTTCAGTTGTCATTTCCAAGGCATGAAGGATATTACCAAATGTAAGCTTGATATGACAAACTGAGAAAACATTAACAGGAACTGATAAAGTTTGTTACCCCATTTAAAGAGGAACTCTGTCAAAAAAAAAAAAAAACATGCTAAAGTATATTTCACTCTTTTGTACAGTTGTGCACCCTCATGATATTTTCACAGCACATGCCCTGGGATTTAAAGTGCAGCAACTCAAAACTTGTGTGGCTCTGAACAACAAAGTTCATCCATACAGAGGAAATGATTAAATTAATGAATCCATCAACCAGAGTTCTGTTTGTTTCTCACAGGGAACAAAAATAAATCAAAATGTTTGAAAATGATGCAAAATGACTTTTTGAAGACTTTTTAATCTACACTCTTAGGTCTGACCATTTCTTATAAATCATTATTATTGTTATTAACCTTGTATGAGGCATGAAGGACAGTAGGCAGACACTTTGAGAACATATAGTGTGTGCCCCTCATGAGCAATAACACCTGCAACACCTTCTAATGTATTTTTATTCATCAATCCATATCAAGGCTGTAAGGGTTTAAAATTCTAGTATTGTAACGACCCCCCCCCAAGCGCCTGAACCCTCTTCTTTAGCACCCAAACACTCTCATGGTTCACCCTCCCACTGCATGTCATAAATAGAAGAAAGATTTCAACAACACTCACAAAACAGTTTCATCACAGGAATATCAAAACTATTTAACTGAGTTCCTTTGTCCCATATATCCACGTTTCTGAGCAGCTGTCCCAACACGCCCAGCTACCAGGACCCGCTGTGGTTCAGTGGGTAGAGTCAGTCATCTATCTCTCAACCTGAAAGGGCGGAGGGTTCGATCCCCAGCTCCTGCAGCTACATGTCAGACGCTAACCCAGGTTGCTCCCTCTGCTTCATTGGTGACGTGTGAATGCTCTGGAGCTGGTTACACCAGGTCTAATGATGGGTACGTTAGCCTCAGTGTGTGAATGTGTGACTAAGACAGTCAGAAGACTAGAAAAGAACAATACAAGTCCAAGTCCATTTACCAGTTAGGATATTTAAAACTTATAGAAGTGTATGAAAAGCTTCTGTAAGAAACTTGTAAAACTTTGTTGTGCAATCAAGGTGACTCAAAATGAGAACACACAAGAAGATAATCAGGAAAATTCACCTGAAGCGAGCAGGCTGGGGTGATGACAGCAGAATCTACATGTGCGACTTCATATTGTTTTTTTGCCAGTATTTTCTTCACTACTCATATGTTGTTGAATGCCTCCAGTTATCTGTAAAGCACTGATGTAAAGGCATAAACTGTCATCATAGCGTCAGACCCTGTTTTTTTGCACGCCGTCCTTTTTGACGTCATGATGCGTCCTGAGGCCTCCTCCTCTGACACTGAGGGGACATGTGAACAGGCGAGTCAGGGGGATCTTCAGCTGCAGATTACAATTTGCAGAACAAGTGCATGTGTGAAAAAGACTTGTGAGTAGAAGAAGAAAAACATCATGCAGCATTTTGAAAGTCAAACAATCCACTGTGTCAAACTTTTCTGAGGACATTTTTGCAGCGTCCTGATATTCTGACTCCGACCCGCTGCAGCAGAAACAGATGTTAAAAACTATACAGAATTCATCAATCTTCTGGCTCAGGGTCTGGTTTGCTTCTGTAGGTCATCAGTATTCATTTCACTTTGTATAAAATTCAGCTGCAAACTCCTCTCCCAGGAGCTTTAAGAACAATGTTTTCAAGATAAAATCCTGATAAATGTGATCGCTCCCCTCCATGGCTTTCCTTGTGATCGTCCCCACATTAATCACATGCATCGCAGGCCTCTCTCTCTCTCTCTCTCTCTCTCTCTCTCTCTCTCTCTCACACACACACACACACACACACACACACACACACACACACACACACACTTTTGGTGACACTCTAGGTTTAAAACAGCTACGTGCTCTCTCTCTCTCTCTCTCTCGCTGTGCAGCCCGGTGGCACGGAAACACCCTCGGATCACAGAGGGGGAGAATTTAGAAACACTTCAGAGGTGGTTTACCACACATGAGAGAGAGAGAGAGAGAGAGAGAGAGAGAGAGAGAGAGAGAGAGAGAGAGAGTCTACCGGTTCATTCATTAAATGCATGATTCGTTTTCCTTCTATCACAGTGTCACTCTGCATTCACATGAACTAAAAAGTTCTTGTGCTTTAATTCAGTCTTTTTTATCCATGCAATCTGCACATTGACACCTTGAAATCCATTTGTTTTTAAATCTCGATCAGCTGCTTTACATCCATAATAATCTAGTTCTATTTCTATTTCTAATCTATTTCTATCATATCTATTTCTATGTTCAAATGTTTATTTGATCACTCGTCCACTTGGAGCATTTTGGTCCTCAAAATAAAGTTCTGAAAAAGTAAAACACCTGGGCTTTCATTTAAAAGTAGCATATTTAATGTAAAGCCATTTAATTTAAATTCAAATAAACGCAGCATAATGAGTCAGTCAGCTGTGAGAAATATGAAGAAGCCATCGATCCAGCCTGATTATTGATTATTGGAGAAGTTAAGTGAGATCAACAGCTTGTGAAAACGGATTAAATCAAAGCAGCATGTATTTATTTTATTTACTTAAAAATAGGGACAGTGCACATTAATGAACATAAAAATGTAAATATGCAGATTATAGGATCATTTCCATCTGTATTCCCTTGGCAGGTTGACGGTAAACAAAGTTACCACCAATCACAAAGTTAAAACCACAATGACAAGCAAAACCAATACAACAAGTAATGACAAAAGAACAACATGAAGTGTACATTAATACACAGAGACAAATAAAACAGTAGAAAGCGTCAGAACGAACCAGTTTAAAGTGACCATCAGAGTTAAAAGATGCATCAGGCATGACGTAAACCATCGTCTTCATGTCGGTATTTATGAATAATGATTCATAAACTTTGTTTTAAATACATTAAAAAACATTCATTTCTAAAGCGTGCGTAGCGAGTGTGTATGTGTAGGCCTTAATATCTCTGTCGATGCTTTTTAAATCTGTTTTTATTTTGTATTTTTAAAACCTGGTTTTATTTTCAAATCAATAAAATATATGTATATATAGGAGTATCGTTGTTTTAACCGGTTCATATTTTCCATTGTGTGCTGCCACTTCAAACTGTGAGGTTACAGAAGTGATGGATAAATAAAACATTACATTTAATTTCAGTTAAATCAAAACTTTACTGAAGAATTACAGAAAATACATTTCTATTTCTTAAATCTTCTCGTGGATTTTCTAACAGCAGTTATTATGAAGCCTGTAAACATGAATTATTCATTATTAACGGAAACCTGTAAAGGTCGTTTTTCAGCTCTGTTCCAGGATATTGAAAATTCG